CTTGCACAGTCTTTTGCATGGCCTTCTTCCGACTTTTCTTCCTGCTGTTGGGAGGGGAATATTGTGGAGCAGAGGAAACTCCGTTGGCATCCATGGGCGTTGATCTCTATGTTGTGCAACAGTTGTTTGAAAACAAAGACCATCACAGGACCTACCGCAAAGAAATGTACAGCAGTCAACCTCCATCTAACAGACCTCCTGCCTATAAGGGACTTCTGCCTAACACAATTATGTAGAGAATACTTTTCAAAGTGGAACACTTGGGAAGAGATTGGAACTGATAGAACGAAATAACTGATACAAGAAATCTGATACTTTGAAGATATGAATTTGTCTTATGAACAACAAGGTAGGGGCTTCCACAGAAACAAGTTCCTGCTGTCACTTCCAAAGAGAAAATTCTTGTGACATATTGATTGCTGCTTCTGTTGAGTATTTTTTTCCTTAATTGTTTTTCATTCTTTGAGAAGAAGTTTTCATGAGCGTTGGAAAAGTTGATCTTTTCTTTGCAGGTTACAATTGGAAATGATTTTGCTTTGAGCATTTAATTCCTTTTGCCATGTAGGGAAGCAAGCAGAATTTTGATCTGAGATTTCTGTGCATGATGGTTGTGTGATTGCACTACCTTTGCACATTGTTTACAACAGGTTTGGGAGTGCCATCTAATCTAATTCAAGTCTGCACCAAACTGAGCCAAATGGGCAAACATTTATATTTGCACAAAACCACTTTGCAAATATGGAGAAAGAAGCTGCTGCACATCCTTGAAAACCTGCTTTTATTTTTGTTCAACCAGTTGCATTTCCTTTCAAATGAGCCCACACTGACAATTCATAAGACATGATTGAGAAATATATAAAAGATTTGAAGCAAATCTTTCACACTCAAATAGCATTACTGCACCTAAAAAGAAAACTATGTTTTGCTGAATATTTCTGGTGGACATGATGACCACAAAAAATCTACGAAGGGTTGCTCAGGAACTTGTATTGGATATTGTAAAGAAAAACCTCATATATGTGATAACCTCATGTAATTCAGCAGGAAGATTCTTCAAAATACTGTACTCATCATACGTATCATTATGATAAAACCACTTTGCATTGATGCTTAGTTTTTCAACCTCAAAATAATCCTCTAAACTTTGAGACACGTTTTGAATGCTAAAATGAAAATTTCGGCCAACGTTGCAAGACTCGAAAGAAATCCTACGTGTCACAAACCCGCCGTGCAAAGAAACTCTTGAAATTTCGTACAAGACATCCGAATCATTCGGGAGAAGAATACTTTGACATTCTTGGGCATTTCGAGACCCTTCAGCACTGTATTCATAGCTCTGAGACAGGACAGCTTTTTTCTACCAACCCTGCTTGTGCTTTAAAAGACTGCCAAGTGCCGACTAACTAGACTTCTCATCAGGAAATGCATACTAGAAGCATGCACGAACCCATGGATAGATTTCCAGAGCAGATAAAACATACCTGCAACAAGCCTTGGGCACTTAGCAACCTGCTGGACACTGTATGTGTGCATGTTTGAGGGGCTCTGTGCTTGAAGACTTGAAAGGAAATTAAACCTGTTCCTTAACCCTTGTGTGGAAAAGTTGGGATATTTGTGAGAAATTGTGTGTCACAGAGCACTGAATATTTAGAAATTCCTATTTTTGTACCAAGGCATAAATTGGGAAAAAGTCAAATATTTTTTTTAATACTGCAGATAATTTTGAATAAAAAACATTTTTCTCACTGGATGATGTTTTTTCCTGCATTCCTGGCCAAGAATTTGCACGGGAGAATACAATAGAGAATGTGCCTCCTAGGTTTTTCCTGACTTGGGACCTCTCAGCCTTGGAGCATTTCAGTGACCTTGGGTCAAGCTGAACAATTATTGATTCTGCAGTGCAATGAAAAAGAACCCTCCACCATCCACTGGTTAATTTATGATCAGTAATTTCCATGGGCTGCAATTTTTGTCAGTCTGCCATATCATGAGTCATTTCTAACCTGAACCCAGCTTTTTTCCTTTATGCCTGACAGCCTGAGCTATNGACAACGTGTCTTGTCTCCTTCTTGTTAGCTTTAATTTAGGAAACCTTCCAACTGTTATACGTTTAAGTTCTCTCCTTGATGTCCGGGAAACTTCTTTTAAGTGTCCAATATTCAGTCTTGAATAAGTATAGAGTCTGTATATCTTCAGCAGATATATTTCTATCAACGTACTTGTCTCCTTACGAGGTTGCATACAACACTGAACGCGCGCAGGCGAAAACAATGATTTATATAAACTTTGATCCGTATTTTGACCGGTGGAATAAAGAACAAGGAAAGGGGCTTTCTATCTCCAAGAGGGATCTGGTCAGCAACAGAGTTTCGGGGCAGAGAGGATCATTTGGTTTTATAATGAAGTAGTTCTCGATATGGGTAAGGATAAGAGTTGATGTCGTTGTCTAGGCATCTCGGGACGCAGAGAGAATATTAAGTATCGGGAGTATAATATTACTTTGTTGCAAAGTAATCAATGCATCAAAGGATCACCTGAAAGTTTCGCCTCGGGGTACTTCCCAAGTATTGTCATATTTTGTCACACTGATAACAAAATTAAACATCACAAATTATTAGGATAAGACAAAATTGTATTACGTTGCATTTTGTTGACAAGAAGCTCGTGTCCGGTCAGCCGCCAGTCGGTCAATTGACGGTCGCGCACCTGCCGGTTGTCAAGCGCCAGTCGGTCCAACCGCCAGCCAGGGCAGATCTTGGCCTCCCCAATCCCCAGCCCACCAAACTGCGGTTTGGTCACCCGATTGTCGGGGCACTTGAGCAATCGGGCTGATTTTTTTTTCAGAATTCAGTGAGCAGAATGGTATCCTACCACAGATTTTTTTCTTCAAAATTTCAGCAATGTTAGGTTAGGTTAGGTTAGTTTAGGTTAGGTTAGGTTAGGTTAGGATATGTTAGGTTAAGTTAGGTTGGGTTTGATAAGTTTTTTTCTTTTTGTGAAAATTTTTATAAGATGAAATTTTGTAAAAAAAATAATCTATGGTAGGATACCATTCTGCTTACCAAATTCTAGAAAGAATCAGCATGATTCTTCTCACCAAATTGTTCCAGTGCCCCAACAATTGGGTGACCAAACCGCAGTTTGGTGGACTGGGAATTGGCGAGGCCAAGAACTGCCCTGGCTGGTGGTTGGACCGACCGGCGCTTGACGACCGGCGGGTGCGCGACCATCAATTGACCGACCAGCGGATGACCCGGTACCCAAGAAGCTCATGGACCAATGCCAAGAAGGTGGGTTGTCAACACTTCAAAATTGACATCAGAATAAGCAAAGAATGAAGGTTTGAATTTTACAGCAGAGAGAACAAAAATTGTCCTAATCCTGGAAACCCATCAGAACTCCTATTCCATTGCTTGAATAGTTTAAGTGTTTAACCCATGTCCTCTTTTGGAGGAAACGCATCAGTTTGAGAAAAATGTCTATCCTCACCTTGCTTTTTGGAAAATTCATCCTCAGCCTGACTTTTTTTTAGATCAGCAGTCTTTCGTTTCAATCAAAATTTTGGACACATTTATTCATCCCAGGAAATGTTCAAAATCTCTTGCCAGATGCTACATCCGTTTTTCAAACTGCGATAAAAAGTGTTTACACCAAGAATATTTTCTTTTGTCTTTTTCAGAACTGCTACTGATGTCTCTGAAATCTGAATCACTTCAAAGCTCTGCTCAGGACATTGTCTTATTCACAAAAGAAAAAAGATTGAAAGAAGTAGTTTGAATTCCATCCTTCAAATGTGCAAAGGTTTGTGAATAAGGTTTGACAATTTCTGAAATAGGTCCAACAGAGTTTCAACATTTCATGGTTTTCTGTACTCCCATAGCCCCATTATTTAATAACACTTCATTGCTGCCAAACACAGTCTCCTCCAATTTCAATGCATTTTTTCATGCAATAAATCCAAAGATCAAAATATTGCCAGAAATTGAAAATCGAGTAGGTTGATCAAGCTGGTCTTCAATAGACAGAAATGAGGCTGTCACTCTCATTAAAATCAATCAGTTTCAGATCATTCTTGATCATTGGGAGCAGCCAGAAATCAATGAATGCAGACTTTGACTTAGGGAAGTTCAACTTATTGAGGTTCAACTGTACTCATCTCCATTTGTCAGAAATCATCACCTATGCCATTCACTCTCCATATTCTAGAGGAAAAGGAATGAAACATTCATTCTGCCAAATCTCAATGCAGGAGTCTGGAAAGGCAAGAATGAAAAACAGTACAGTATAATAATTTGTGATGCAAAACAACTTCCATTTTAGGAATGCATATATTATTTAACCATCTCTGGAATCTCCCAGCGGAAAGAAACCATGCTCAAGTAAAAGAATTCATAATTTGTTGTCACTCTCAAGTCTCAACAGCAAATGTCAAAACAATAAAATTCCTCCAGGTCCAAATAAGTCATCTTCATCACTCTCACCAAATTGGCACATCTTGATTGTCTCACTTATGGCTACGTTTGTCTTCATTTCACGGCAACTTTCTGTTGAATTCTTTTTCGGCCTTTCTTGTTCATCCACTTTTTGTTCATTTCACTTGAACCACAGATTGCTGCGTGTTTTCCACATTTTCTTCCGTTGTTTCCGAATCAGCTTGTGCCCGGGGCTTCATTTCGTAAATGCTATTTTTTTATTGGAAATAAAAATTCGATTTAAATATTTTTGAAAAATTTTAGAACCTCTGGAAAATAGGAGGATTACTGGAAGGGTGTTCGTTTTCCGTAGCGGCTCCAGAAGGTCATTTTGCTGACGTTTTGCTTGCCAGTGCGAGGGTCAAAGATGTTGCACTGGTCAAACGGCGGGATGTAAATGTGGAGACTCACTGCAACGTCTGTGTGACTTGGGTTCTCCACTCTGTGCAGGCCCAGTTCATCTGACAAACAAAATTTTGGTAATTATGAGTCATTTGACAAAAACAGCCATGGTATACAATGTCATTCTACTACATCCCGCAATTTGGCTGTCCCTAAATTCAAAAGTTGAACATGCAGGGAGGCTGACTTGCAATTTGACCATTGCATCGCAATTCAACCTGCTTTGGTCACTTTTTTTTGTGCTTTTTTTACTGATATTTTTGATTTTCACAAACTGCCTTGCAGTTTGACTGCTTAGCAATTCAACCCTAGTTTGGCAATGGATTTGGGTCAAATTGCAAGGTACCACTTCTACTTTATTGTAAAACACAAATGCATGCTGACAGTCAGAGTCTTGTCAGAATTTACCCAGCCAAAGAAATTCAAAATTCACAAAGCAGTTGTATTGAGGGCATCTATGCTTTGAAAATAGTTTATCTTTAGACAGACAAACATTCAGAACATTCAGACTCCCTTCCATCTTTAAACCCACAGGTTTCCTCTTTTTGCAAAAAACATATGCAAAAAACATGCATGCAAAAGCTTCAACTTGGAAAACTGTTGCACTTTGTCTCTGCAGTTTTGATCTTATGAATGTGTTCATGGGATGATGAGCACCACAACATTTTTTTTTGCCCAGCATTCCCCACCATAAAAATGAGGTATCAAAAGACTTGGGATTCTCACAACTTAATGAAAAGGTGGTTCCACAACATGGAGTGCTGGGAAGAAATGGAAGTTTTATATGATCTCTCTTTGAAGATTCTTTCAAAATTTTAAAATCAATTAAAAAGTATTTGGGAGTCAGCTGAACACCTTGCGCTCACTCACAGTGCTGAGAATTTTTTTCATAGAATTCAATAAAAAATGGAAATTTATTATGCATATGTACTGGTATGCATTTTATTTTATGAACAATATAATTATTCAATTTTTATCTGCCAGAATTGGTCAAATGGATGTGTTTGGGAATGCTGGATTTTTTAAACCTTTTAAATGCAGAAAAGGGGAAAATAAAACCTGTATAATTCATCAAAATAACTTCCCATGCCAGGAAGTTCAAGCTTATAATCTCTGCTATTTTGAATTGGACTTGAATGAAAAGCTTTTTGGGCCTTTCTGCATGTGAAAGAGCTAACAGTTGTTTGTAAATTGAACTCTTTTTGGCATTCATGATCATTTGGAAATATCCCTCGCTCATTTTTGTTTGGTGTTTGACACAGCACTGTGAATTAACTTCTGGCTGATTTGAAGAGAAAACTCACCATTTATGTAAGCCACCTGATTGAGTTTCAGATCCTGTGTTCCCCTCCCGACCATTTCACCTCCTTCTTCTGCAGGAAAGTCATATCTTCTCTCAAGCAAATCACCCATAAGATTCTGTGAAAAAAGCACATTCAGAGGTTATATGCAATAACACAATTACAGTATTACAATAATCTCAAAATTTTGATGATTGAGAAGTACAGCCAGCTTTATCAGGTCTTTATAGTAGGGGAACCAATTCAAAGTTGGCAGATATTTCAGGAATGTAACTTAACCTAACTTGTGTCCTCTGATAAAACTTTCTTATAGTGATGGATAAAAAGTAGAAAAATTCCAAATACAAACCTTCATGAAGCAATGGGCATTTGAGTGATCGTGAATATTGGATGCCATCCCTTCTCCCCAGCATAGCAACATCATGTTGTACTTCCCATTTCCTTCATCAACCAAATTTCTGGTGTACCTGAAAAAAAGAATGAATTAAATATTTTGAATGGAAAGTGCAACAAAAAACCAGGAGTCAGAGAGAAAAATGAAGATAAATGGAAGCTTTTGCTCTATCATTCTGCTCTATCATGCTCTATTATGGAATTTCAGATGAAGGCATTCATGTTTGAGTATATGTTTGCTTTAAAAATTATTAGAATCTGTCATTAGCATGAGGGAAAAAAATGCATGAACAAAAACCTTAAACATGTCTTTATAACTTCACCAATCTTAATACACATATAAAAATAATGCATGGGCTTGAGAAAAATTGAATTGAAATTTTGATTTTGTTCTTCACATGAAAACCAGATCTTTGGTATCCAAAATATTAATCCTATCTATTCATGCTAGTTTTGCAATTGTAAATTTTGGGACATATGTGCAGTACTTCATTTTTTTTCAATACCCATATACAGCTTATTTCTCTGTTTTCCATTCTGATGTGATGGAATGTGTTTGGATGAATAATGATGGAGAGAGGAAGGGGTTTAGATGCAGGAATGTTTCTTGAACCTTGTGAACGCTGATAAAAGCAGAAAATAAAGCTTGCCATTCAATTGAGTTCATTATAACTCATTGAGAACCATATGGAAGCAAGTTTTCAAATCATATACATGAATTCTTGATGTACAGTCCAATGAAGATCAATAATTCTGAATCGAAGTGCTCTTTTGTTGTTGCATGAAAAAATCTCAAATAAAAGAAAGAAAACAAGAACGAAAATCCCACCTGTGACGATCGAATTTGGCAAACTTTTTCCACTCCTCTGGCTTCGACGTGTAGGAAGCAAGGAGCTCCATTATATAATCCACATCCACTACATCTCCAGAGTCAAACACCTTTCTGCACTCGCTCACCAGCTCCTGAAAACTATTGGCCGACTTCGCTTTTGTCTCCATCGAAATATTCAATTCCGATTTTCTTATTTTCCAAAACCTCTCCTGAAATGTTAAATCGAATGAGAAAATACATGAACAGAGTTGAAATAACTTCTCTAAATGGTTTTAGGCACTGAATGAGCTGTTCAGAAGAAAGTGGCTTCCGAAGGCCGAACTGAGGATAAAAAAAAATTAAATTACGCGACCAAAAAATTATATGCCTTGTGAGAGGAAACTTGCAAAATGTGCAACTTGCTGATCACCATGATAATTTTTTTTATAAGGAATACAGGTAGAACACCACACATCAGTGGTGGGAAATATACCAGGAATATTCCAAAGCCTGAATACATTTTCAAATCTACATCCATAGTATACTTCCACAGTTCCAATCCTATCTTCATCATTTGGAAAAATCCACAAAATAGTAAACACTGATTCCTTACGCAACAAGCCATTTTTTTTAACATTAACATTTTCGGCATTCGTTTCCCACTGCAAACATACAAGGGAAAAAATACTGCTTTCTTGACCATAAATTTCTTCACATTATATTACATCAGCAATCAAAATTTGAACCATAGTTTTCAGGAAAAAGTTTCATACTAGATGACTTTCAATTAGAATGTTTCAAATGATTAAAATGCCTGTTATTTATGATTGAATACCTTTTGGAACACACAAAAAAACAATTGCTAAAAAATAAAAAATAAACCTTATCCAGGCAATCAACCAACACAAGAATACGGCCACCAATTTTGAAAATGATCGAGCTACCGTAAAACATTAAATAGCTTTTGCAAATTTGAATTTTTGGGACTGCTGCGTGAATCCATCTGAATTACTGCCGGCAGTTTTCACGGATTGTAGTTGTGTATTCCCACAGAAAGAAACACTCCACAGTTCATTCACGACGTGGCATGAAGGAAATCTTTTGATTAATTCCATAAATCACAGTCAATTGATTGTGCTGTATCATCGATAATTCTGTATTTTGCGGCACCACCTGTGTTGAACACATGGACACTTGGAATGGTTCACGAAGTTGCTTTTTCACTGTAGATATTCACGAGACCACGCGGAAACCACACTGGGAATTTCAGCCACCACGTGACGAAATCAGCAGAATGCCAAATTTTTTCAAAAACATCCTTCGATTTATCACATGGCAAGACAAAGAGTCAAGCTCAGGTGATGAGGGAAGTTTTCTCTTTGCTTCAGCGCAGAAGTGTATACTGAAGGCACTTTCACCCTCCCCCAAATCCCTCGCCCTGAGGGGTTTCCTTTTAGGCCCCACTCGCATGCCGAAGCCCTTTTTTCTTGGAAGGAATACAAACATGCAGGACAAGCACACTGCAGGGGTCGATCTTTCTGCAAGGTTGTTCCTAAAATTGTTGTCCAGTTTTTTCAACAGCAATGCACATACATAGGGGGTAGGTGGATTTAAAAAATAAAAATTTATTTTTATGAAGGCGTTTTGTTGCGGCAAAATTTCTTTTTGGGGGACGCAATTTCCAGCAAGGGGTCATTCTAAATATTTCAATAGGTTTCAGACACGTTCTCACCAGAATATCGAAATAAATCTTGCAAATATTTTTTTTGTTTTCCCACAGTTTCAGAGTTAAATTTTGAATTTTACATTCAATAGAAGTGAATTTCAATGTTTCCGAATAGTTTATTCTCTGAACTTTCGGAAGCCCGCGAATTTTATGGACAAGGAGAGGCGAATTTATGTCATTCCATTGTCATTTTCCTCAATAATTTATCATTCTGAAGTTTCAGCCCATAGCTTTGTGAAATGGAAGCAATTTCGATGAGAAAGATTTTATTGCTCATTTTTCGTTCAAAGTGTCACACACTTTTCCCTCAAAAATGTTTGTTATAGGGATTTTACTCACAGGTTACAGAACGTTTTCATGAAGTCACTCACTGTATGGCGTCTGTGGCCAAACTAAAATCTGACACAAAACTCCAGAAGTGCTGAC